AAAGAAGCTTGTGCTTATTGTTTCTAGTTATTCTGGTGATGCTTGAGGCCTTTGTTCTAAACTTAATGATGTGTATTTGACCATTCATACTAGTTATAATAACATGAGAATAGTGTTAGTAAAATATTTTTTAACCAAAATGTTGCAGAGCATTTTCCTTCATAGACAAATAATTCGTTATTTTGTAGCTTTAACTTTAATTTGCTTCAGAATTATGTACAACTTGTTGGAAATTAAGAGTTCCTACTTTTGTAATGCCTGAGCGGCTGAGCCTAATCAAGTAGTTTATGACATTTTGCATATAATTAATATATGACTTTGGAGACTTTATTTGTAAGATCATTAATGCCTGATCTATCCAAAAATTTTATATTATTGTACTAGTTGGAATGATAACACCACTTATTAGTTACGTAAATAGGTAGATTTTTTTTTTTAAATGTATTTTGTGTGATTGAGTGAATTTTACATAATTAGTCTTACATGTTCATATGTTTACATACCAAATTTTGTTATTTATGTAAAATTTATATGAGGTTTCGAAATTTTCAGCAAGGTATGAGGTATAACAGTTGATTTTATATATTATTAAGTTGGAAGACCATTGGATTTGAATTTCTTACTATAAAATTATTGTTTTATGACTTATGTTGTCTTCCTTCTTTGCGTTTAGGAACCAAAATAGACTATATTGACCTTCTACATGTCCTGAAATCGTGACCAATAGATGCATCATCAAAGTTGTCTATGATGTATTTGACAACCTAAATGATGAACATAAAAATTTGGTTTTTGATTCTTGATTCCGCCCACTATTTCAAACTGACGGCGTAAAATTGTCATCTCAAATAATCCACCAGCATGTTCGTAGGACTTTAATATCGCCCAAAAAAAAAAAGAAAAAAAGTGATGTGTTAGTTCAAATTAGAGACAACCATGCGATATTTAGTTACCGGGCTAGAAGAGTTCATTGGAGCCAAGTATAACAAAAAATAATTTGATTACGAGTCCACATGAGCTCCCACGAGCTCGTGGCGCACGGACGCGCAACTGGTCGCGGCGAGCGAAAGGTCACAATCCTTGGTGATCATAAGGTGTCTTTTGGCCTGTAGATGTGTCCGTTTTTTTTTCGGGTACGTCCGAAAAGGTTTCTTTGACACTTAAAACTCTTGAAAACTTTTGAAGGTGTTTTTTGTACATCTATAAATACCTACATACTTGAAATAATTCACAACTTGAAAAGTTAAGAGCTCTTGCATTACATTTTCAAAGTTCATAAAGCGTATTGTGTTATTTGATTTTTCCATTGAGTCTTGAGAGTTTTAAACAATAGACTTGTTCGCCGAAAACTTGTATATTTGTAATACCGCTATATAAGTATAAAGTCGTTGTATCTTGGAGACGTTTGTTGTTAACTGTGAGTATTTTACGGGATAATTTTTGAGCTTCGACTTCCTTATTAAGTCATCTCCTTCGTACTTCGTCCCTATCGTCTTAAGGAGAACGTAACTATTACGTGTCTTGACTTCTATTTTGATTTCGTTTTCTTCATTTTTCTTAAGTCATCTTCTTATATCCACAAACCACATAGACTACAATAAGAATGAACATAATTTTGATATGGGTATGTAAGATATAATTGTAATTATACATAGTTACAACAAAAAATAAATGTAAAAAAAATCTCATTGACCGTAAATCCTATTTTCCTATTTGTTCGGATAAAATAAAAGGCAACGGATTTTTCATTTTCATTTCCATTTCCATTTTCCAAAGACGAACGAACGAAAGAAAGAAAGAAAGAAAGAAAAAAAAAAAAAACTGAATTTTTTCGAGGCGCGGTTATGTGTGTGCCCTCAACCCCAGCACCCGCCTGGGCGACGAAAACGACCGACAGCGACCTCTCGACGCCGTTCCATCGCCGCCGCCGGTCCCCACGCTCGCCACCTGCTGCCCGTGAACCCTAATATTCTCATACTTTGTCCTCGATATAACGGCAACTCGCACATTACCGCTTACGGTCCCGATCAATGAGAATCTAGTGGGGAGTTCGGAGAATAAATATCGACGAATCGGAGTTTGAGCCTCTTGCCATGGAGTCGTTGATGGAGCTCTGCGATCTAATCGCTCAAAATCCGGCTCAATTTCCCGAGAAATTCGCGTGGATTCGCAGCCGCTGCCCGCCGGCGGAGTCGCTGCTCGGTGGATCGCCGGCGGTCTCGAGATCGCAGCTCCACGCCGTGCTGGCGGTTGCTAGATTCCTCTCGAAGTGCCCGAATTCTGACCAGGAGTCCACCAAATTGCTTACCCTCGCGTTCTACCGGTCGATTCCATTGTCCTTCGATATCAAGTTCTGGCCGCAGGCGTTTCCGGTGGAAGCAGTTTCTTCTTTCTTCCACGATTTTCTCAATTACATCTCGAAAGCGTCTGAGCTGTCGCCGGATTTTGCTGTGGATGTGGCGGGTCTCACAGGGGAACTTGTGATGCAGACGATAAGCAATGCTGGCTCGGGCGTTTCTAGGGTTTTCCTGCACGCGCTGTGCTCGAATTTCCCTCCAATTCTGCCTTCTGATGCAAACAAGTTGATTGCAGTTCTTCTGGATCGGTTTGATGTTGTGGTCCCATGCTCCCCAAGAGAGTTAATCTCGTCGACTCCCGATACAGTTTCCGCTCAGAGCTCTCCCTTCAGTGCGAACCACTTTCAGTCTCCTGGTGCTGAGGCCAGCATTGTCTCAGCAGACTCATTCAATAGCATGGCTTCAAAGGATGATGCATCATCATCAAGAGGGGTTGTGGTGAATGGTGCCGGTAGCATTGCCTGGAAAATCAACGGGGATACATTTGGGGTTGGTCTTGCATCCAATGATGGCGAGGGTGGTGGTGGGGCCGGTAGCTTGGGTTATAAGAAGACAGTGGCGTTATTTGAGGAAGAGTCCATTGAGAGTCTTGAGAAACAAGAAACTGTTTTTAAGCTAATAGCTCATATGTTCAGTAAGGTGGCTATTGATCAACAGCTCATGGAGCAGGTGCGAGGAATAGCCAAGGATCAACTCCACTCTATGCTCGTTTTCTTGAAGGTAACTGTGAAAATTAATCTAAAATCTGGGAACAACGGTTTTCTAATGAATTTTTGTGTTGTTTTTGTTGCCTGCGCAGATAAGGAAGCGCGATTGGTCGGAGCAAGGACAACTGCTGAAAGTTAGGATCAACAAAAAACTTTCTGTTTACCAAGCTGCTGCTAGGATGCAGATTAAGACCCTCGCCTCTCTTGACACGGAGGGTAAGTCATCAAAGAGATTGTTGCATGGAGCTCTTGCATTGTTGATAGAGGCTGCGGAGGCATGCTTGTTCTCCGTGTGGCGCAAAGTGAGAGCCTGTGAGGAGCTATTTGGCTGTTTGCTTTCTGGAATTTCTCAAGCTGCCATCACCCGTGGTGGTCAGCTCCTCCGAGTTCTGCTCATTCGTTTTAAACCCCTAGTGCTGGCTACTTGTGCTCAGGTACGTCTGACTCTGTTCTTTCATTGAATGTTTCTCCATGTCGATTGCCGAGTTAGATTAATTGCATTGTTTCTTGGGATCTGCTCTGAACAGGCAGAGACTTCTTCCAGCAGCCCGGGCTCCATGTTCGAAAGTGTTTTGAAAACATGCTGTGAGATAATTGAGTTTGGATGGGCTAGGGACCGGTCTCCTGTAGACACATTTATCATGGGATTGGCTACTAGTATACGAGAAAGAAATGATTACGAGGAAGAGGTTAGCGCAGTGTATAGCTTTTGATATTGTTATTATAGCTGCATTTGTTGTTCTTTTATATATATAATTCTTAGCCATCATGACCATCATTACTGTTCTCATTTGATACTTTGTCCCTTCAACTTTTCTTGTACTTTACTTCCATGAGAAGAAATAAATTTCTACTCAGTGATTAAAAAGGCGTGCTGCAAGCGGAGGTAACTAGCCTTTTATTTGTGCCAAGGCGTGAGGCGAGGCGAGGCGCTCACCTTACTGAAGCGAAGCAAGCCAATATGGAAAACTGAAAAATTAGTCCCAGACTTTGTAGTATAATTGGGTAATAAGAAAAGATAAAACTGAACTCAGTCCTTGCTCACTAGCAGCACATAAAAACTGAATTTTAGCCACAGCTCCCAGCAACAGAATAAAAAGGGAAAAAAAAGAAAGATAAAAGAAGGTGAAAAAGACGAAAAGAAAAAGTGAAAAAAAGCTGAAAAGAAGAAAGAGGGGGAAACACGTTCTTGTCTCCGCTTCTCCAGTCACCAGTGAACAGTCGGATTCCGGTTACTCGGTCAGGTGAAGAAAAGGCACAAAATAATTTAGGGCTTTGTTAGAGAATATGTGTAATTTAGAAATGGATTTGAAGCCTGTAATCCTTCTGCTCGCTTTGGTTCTTTGTGGCGCTCCTCCCCTCGCTTGAGGCGTGTGCCTTGGTGATGCCTTTTGCTAGGGAAACTCGCCATACCTACTTGAGGCGCCCAAACCTCGCCTCGCATTGCCGCACACCATGGCGACACCATTTTAATCACTGCTTATAAGTTAATACCCACTTGCAATCTGCGTTCAAACCATTCTATAAGCACACTAGAACGTTGGTTGAAGAAGCCCAACTTAAGCTTAGATATAGACATTTAGATGTGTATTTACGTCTCGTTTACTTAAAAGCACAGCTTCATGGAACCATTCCATTTTACTTGGTGAATCGTTAATAAATATTTGTTTCACCTTTTTAATTTGTAAAGCTCTGTACTATGTCTTTTTGGGCAAGGATAATTTTAGTGGGAATTGTAAATTTGGTTGTTGTGTCAGATTGCTTCTTCAAATTGTTATTAATCTAGAATGTTGTAAACAAACCATGTTGATATATTAATAATATGAATTCTGTATGTGGATTTCGTATTGATGTTTGCGGTGCTGTTAGGCACTCAAATAGCACTTAGTGTGTCCCATTATCCGTAAATACTACAATTTTCTTTAGTCTCCATGTTTAACTGCCGGTCTGTATCACTATGAGACGCAAGTTTTCGTTTTTCGTTTTTGCTAATGGTGTTAACTGTTACTTTACAGGATGGGAAAGAGAAACCTGCAACTCCACATATTCAGTTGAATGTAATACGTTTGTTAGCTGAGTTGAACATTTGTGTGAAGAAGCCTGAAATTGTTGATATGATATTACCACTATTTATTGAGAGTTTAGAAGAGGGTGATGCTTCAACTCCATGCTTATTGAGACTCCGAGTATGTTTTTATTTCGTCAATGCCTAGTATGCAAGTTTCTTCATTTTATCTACTTATATCTAATATTGAAAGACACGATTCTTGCATATTGTCTTCCAAATACAATGTTCTTATTTATTACAATGTTCTTATTTATTTTTGCTATATATTTTTTCTGCACAATTTGCTCAATCTGCTTTGTTGAGTTACTGCAGCTTCTTGATGCTGTTTCTCGCATGGCGAGTTTAGGTTTCGAGAAGTCTTACCGAGAAGCTGTGGTTTTGATGACTCGGAGCTACTTGGGTAAGCTCTCTACGGTTGGCTCTGCTGAAAGTAAAACCCAAGTACCTGAAGCCACAACTGAACGTATTGAGGTATAATTGAACTTTTCATCACATTGTTTTGTAGCAAGTTAGCAGGAAAAATGTATTGTGATATGGTTACTCACTAATTCAATCACGCTAGACCTTGCCTGCAGGATTTGTATCGATTGCAAGCGGTATTACCTGTAATAAATTGCGTTCGGATTACCGTCACCGGTTGTTGTCTCTGTGCTCAGATGTGGGCTTGGCTGCAGAATCAAAAAGTGGAAGGTAACCTTCAGCAAAGTTAATCTTTTAGTTTCCATTGTTCGACTGCAATGATTTCCTTACTGGTGAAATCAATATATCAGGAGTGGGGCAGATTTTCTTGGACCTCTTTTGCCTGCTGTTGCTGAAATATGTTCAGATTTTGAGCCCGGGTTAAATGTGGAACCTTCACTCTTGAAGCTATTCCGGAATTTGTGGTTCTACATTGCTCTCTTTGGGTTAGCACCTCCCATACAGAAAACCCAGACTACGACAAAATCAGTTTCAACAGCGCTTAGTAGTGTTGGCAGCATGGGTACTATTGCTCTCCAAGCTGTAGGTGGACCATACATGTGGAATTCATTATGGTCATCTGCAGTTCAGCGAATTTCTCTAGGGACTCCCTCTCTTGTAAGTTGACATATAGCATATATTACTCAGTTAACATTGTGTCTATGAACTTATTGGTGTTTGCTCTTTCGTTTGTGATACATTCTTTGGAAGATTTGAATATTTATCTGAATATTCTTGTGCCTGAAGCCAAATATATGTCACGCTTGGCTCTATCTTGCTTAGTTTGTGTTGATCAGAAAGGCTATGATGTCATGCAAATGTTTGTCTCTGAAGCTCCCTTCTCTACGTCACTCACTTAAATGTGCCATATGCAGTACTTCTTTGTCATGAGAAATTTAATTAGCTTGTTTTCTTGTTATATGAGTTAGGCATTTATCTCAAATTTCAAAATAGCTTAGGTCTTGCGTAGTGTCCTTCATCCATTTAAATTTAATGTATAATATATTCTCAGAAGAGTTTTTAGATCCTCTTTCTGTTGGTGCTCCGCTGAGGATGTTCTGTGGTACAATCCAAATCCGCAAATGGCTGTGTCATGGGGCGTATGTTAGCAGCTTTGCTTTGCTTTGTCATTTGCATTGATGGGGCTAGTTTTCTTCTTTGTTAAATGATACTGCTTCCAGATTTTCTGTAAATGCAGACCAGAAACAAAACCTGTCACGGAAAATTGGAGGGTTTACTTTCAAATATGCGCAGTATTTTTCTTTTACAGGACCATTGCATCAGGTTAATGGTAGCTTTGCAGATTCCTAGGACCTTTTTATTGTATTTTTGTGTGATGTGTGCAAATAGGGTTCTGAGAGAAAAAATGTTTTCTGATCAGGTTGTGAGCTCTGTCAAATGGCTTGAAGATGAGTTGGAGCTTAATGCTCTTCACAACCCAGGTAGTCGGCGTGGGAGTGGAAATGAGAAAGCTGCTGTGACTCAAAGAACTGCTCTCTCTGCTGCTGTGGGAGGGCGAGTGGAGGTTTCTGCAATGAGTACAATTTCAGGTCTAATTATTTACATACTGGATAACTAGAGAGTAGAAACTCTATGTTCGGCAAATCAATTAGATTATGTACTTTTTGTTCAGGCTATAATGTTGTTGTATTCATAAAAGGTGTACTTTTTTTCCGCCTTCTACAGGTGTGAAAGCAACCTATCTTTTAGCTGTAGCATTTCTGGAGATAATTCGATTTAGCAGCAATGGTGGTATTCTTAATGGAGGCCCAGAATTAACTGCTTCTCGGAGTGCTTTCAGCTGTGTTTTTGAATACCTAAGAAGTCCTAATCTCATGTCAGCTGTCTCCCAGTGTTTGACTGCCATTGTCTATCGAGCATTTGAAACTGCGACAACTTGGCTGGTATTCTGCTCATCATCCTTCATTACTGTTCTTGTTTAAATGAATAAATATGTGGGCATACTCATAGACAAATTTGATTACTAGCTTCTTTGCATATTAATTTTCATGTTTTTGTTTGCTTGTAGTGAAATATTCGTTGATGGAGTTTCTTGATTAGGATATCACTTTGCTATGTTGTTTCTGTTTTATGATTATGAAACTTTAGTTGACATATCCATTGGGAGATCCCGATCCTGCTAGCTGTTTCCTGTGTACTCACATTCGGATAATTGGATTTGGGTCCTTCATATTTAATTTCCTGTGTTTCTGTTTTATGATTATGAAACTTTGGTTGACATTTACATTGGGAGATCTTGATCCTGCCAGCTGTTTCCTGTGTACTCATGCATTCCGATAATTGGATTTGGGACCTCATATTTAATTTGTAATTGAGACCATTTTATGTTGATTCTTCTGTCTAACCATCTTAATTGTAACCCCAACATGTATATTTTAAAAGGAGAAACAAGAGGAGTGATGTGTGGGGATGAGTATTTCGTGGTTCAGCATTCATATCACATCACATTTATATATAAAGTTCAAATGATATAATACTACACGGGTATTAGATCAATATATATATAAAATAAAGTTCTAAAAAATGAATATAAAATATATCTTAATTAATGGCCATCTGGTATAAATACTTCTTATACTTATATATTAAAACTTCATTATATATACATATATTATATAAATGTTAAAAAATAAGTATGTTACATTCTTGTCTAATGATAAGTTTTTAATCACATTAATTTAATATTTTTTGTTACCCATATATTACGACATTGGATATCAATGTTATTAAGTGCTACATTAGCTTAACATAAATAAAAATATGTTTGAAACAAATATTAACTCTAATTCCATGAATACGGTTCCAACCTTTTCTAAGATATTTCCGAACTGGATTGTAACTTTGCAAAATTCTTTTTTCGTTGATTATTTTGTGCCAATCATTTATATTTATGTATAGTCAATTCAAGCAATTAACCATTTTTATTCCAACTCATATGTTTAAATATATTGAAATAGCTTGGCACTCTAATATGATCGCTTGCAGAGTTAATGTTATTATTTTTGTTCATCTTTGCTATGAAATATTATTTTTAAGTAGTTTATAAATTTAATAAAATACGAATATGGATATAATAAACTAATAATATTTATTTTTTTATACGTATACTAACTAATGCGGTATTGTTGTTCCACTCTCTTGTAACGTTCAACGCTTTTAATTTTATTGAAATTGTCTTATTTTTTTATGCAAATTATTTATCTTTTTCAAAGTCTGACATAATTTTAAAAATTTATTTATTTATTTTATGTTGATATTTTTTTTATTGAAAGTGAATTTTTGAATTTGATTTGTTTCTTCAGTTTGTGTAGTTTTTCGATTTTCAAAAAGGTTTTAATATTTTAGAGAGAAAATAATTATATCATTTCACACAAAATATAAAATTGAAAAGGTTAGGATAATTACCAGAGTCGGGTTTGTAATTTTGCGTGAAGAAGAAGAACAAAAGAGTGATGAAAAATTGAAAGAGATTAAACGAAAAATGGGATGAACGATATGGAAGATAAAATTATGTAATAAATATATTGATTGATTGATAAGCCAAATATGTTAAGGAATAATGAATTTGGATGTTATGATGGAAGACGAGAAAATGAAAATAAAGGAAAATATTATTTATTTTTTGGACATATCCAAACCTAGTTGGCAAATGACGTGGCAACCGAGCCTTATATTTATCAACAAAAGCATAGATTTGTGACAAATCAGATTCTGAAGCGTGCGAGTCTGCCATTTAGCCTCAACACGTTATACAAAATTATATATGAGGGAGATTGTAAATATCCATTTCCATGTGAGTCTGTATTCTCGAAAGTAAGAAATTGCTACTCCCCTGGGATCAGCTGTTCCTGAATCCTGACTTGCCAAAAGTGACTATCTTGGTTTTAACAATTTCTCATTTTAAAGTAACTAATGGATAAACCTATTACGAAAAAAAATAAAATTATTCGATGAACCTCAAAATTATGTGATCTAGTTCAAACCCTGTGTGCACTATCAAGTTTACCGTCTCGATATCATTGGAGATTTATTACCAAATATTATGTTATGTGAGACTCATGGCAGGAGGACCGGGCGTCTGATACTGGGCCAGAGGCTGAGGTTAGAGAGTCTACTCTCTCTATCCATGCTTGTTTCCTCATAAAAAACTTGTCCCAGAGGGACGAGCATGTGCGAGATATATCAGTTAGTTTGCTGACTCAACTTAGAGATAAATTTCCTCAGGTAAAGTTGCTTTTGTGTTTTCTTTAATTAATATGCTTGTGTCACTCTCCAATGGTATCGATAAATGTTGTATGCAACTTGCAGATTTTATGGAATTCATCTTGTCTCGATTCCCTGCTACTGTCAATGCATAATGATCCACCATCTGTTGTAGTCAGTGATCCTGCTTATATTGCCAATGTCCGCTCTTTATATCAAAAGATTGTTCGGGAATGGATAGTTGTATCACTCTCACATGCTCCATGTACTAGTCAGGGCCTCCTTCAGGTTTTTCCCCTATCATCCCCATTAATTGTGTTTTCTTTACTTTTGTCATTTATGTCCCTCCATAATTGGAATGTTTTAGCGATTTGCTTTACCACTTCTTCATTTCAAGTGCCTTTTCTTTTAGGAGATATGGAATGCTTTAGTAGTTGAGTTCTTGCTTTTCTTCTACACAATCACAATTGGCTGTATTCTGTTTTATCATGTGAGTCCCTCCGTAGAGAGGAAAGTTTAGGGCTATTGCCAATTGTATTTTATCCTGGAGGGGGCACTTCTGAGCTCTTCCGTAATAGCTTGTGGGATAAAACTGGATAGGAGGATTTCCAGTGGCTGGCCACGCTGTTGTTCATTTGGTTCTTTTTTCCTGCTTCTATGTATTTTTCTTCTGGTCTTAATTTCTGCCAGAATGTATTGTCCCTCAGTTGGCATTTCAACCAATCTTTGAAAGTACCTTTTATACTTTTGATTTTTGTATTTTTTTGGCAGTCTAATAAGGTTAACTCATGTAAGCATACCTTTTCTGTCGGTCTGTGTTATCTACTCTTTTGGCTCCTATGCTGTTGATACATGATGATGTTGTCACTTGTCACTTACATTTTTAGTTTACAAAGAAACTAGTGTGATGTCCCATGCCATAAATGGAGTGCAATATAGTAAAGTACTGTATGATATTGATATCCATGTAATCTATATTTTATTCTCGAATTTGTCCCTTTTTTATGTTCTCTTTTCACTTTTGTGAATTTTCAATCATGAATTCCTATGTTTGGATTATATTATTATCAAGTTTATGAAATATCATGAGTGTCAAAGGTTTTGTAAATATGATACACACACATTTATATATGTATAAACTGACTTGCGTGATTTACATTTGTAATATATATTTACGTTTCTTATTTTTTCAATGTTTTTTAGTTCATCAGTAATTGATCACAGTTTAGCTGGATATTGGATCCACATGCTTAATTGTTTGGGACAGTTATCATCTTATCTTTATCCATGTCTTTCATAATGGGAACTTTATTTTGATATGTGAGGCAAATGTACAAGAGACAATGATATTAACTTAGTTCTTATATTTATGTTTCCATTTTTCCTTTGTCTTATATATATGTCATATGGTTTATGACATATGGTGATTGAATATATTAACTAATATGTTCACTGTTTCTTTAACTTTATTTTGATATGTGAGGCAAATGTACAAGAGACAACGATATTAACTTAGTTCTTATATTTATGTAATAAGAACTATGGTGATATGGTTTATGACATATGGTGATTGAATATATTAACTAATATGTTCACTGTTTCTTTAAATTTATGAAACTCCACATATGTTTATGATTTTGGTTGTTTTTTAAAATCATTGTAATGTTGTTATATGTTCATTTGTTTTATTTCAAAAAAATAGAAGTATGGAACTTTTATAATATGAAAAATTTGTATATGTTAAGTATTTATGCCTTCAATATTGTAACAAAGCCCCACAACAACAACAACAACAACAACAACAACATACCCAGTATATTCCCAACAGGTTGTGGTCCGGGGGGTCAGTTGTACGCAGACCTTACCCTTGTAATTATACAAGGAGGCTGTTTCCGTAGCGACCCAAGGTGCATTGCGCCGTTTGATATATTTTTTTTTTCTAGAAACTTCACTAATCGAAGAAGCACTAGAATTTAATTGAGCCATTTTGAGCCATTATGCCTTCAATATTGTAACAAATCCCCAACAAAAAAAATCATATGTTTTACATAGCTATTATCATTTTTGAGCATTCACCTTTTGTTCATAATATTTCAAAAAAATTTCAAGTGAAAACTGATGATAGGTACTATATGTTTGTAATATTCTTCTTTATTTGTTACATGCAGTTAGAGTAACAAATCGACGATCATGAAAGTTTACTAATTTTATATGAAATACAGAACAAATGGTGGTGATTTTTTAAACAATCTATCTATTTATATGTTAATGGCTCTTTATATATATATAAAGATACGGTTCTGAAGTCTCTTTTGTAACCATGTCAGTAAATACACATTTGTTTAACTCAATTTTGATTGGAAATGCACTATTAATCTATTACCTTGAACTTCATTAATGTACTCTGGAGATGCATCATTTGTCTATTACCTGTAACTTCTTATTTTGATACCTATGTTCAGGAAAACCTCTGCAAAGCTAATACATGGCAGCGAACACAGCCTACAGCCGATGTGGTTTCTCTCTTATCTGAGATAAGGATTGGTACAGGTAAAAATGATTGTTGGACTGGTACCAAAACTGCAAATATCCCTGCAGTCATGGCTGCTGCTGCTGCAGCATCGGGTGGAAACTTGAAATTGACTGATGCATTCAATTTGGAGGTTCTTGGTACTGGAATGGTTAGTGCTACTGCAAAGTGTAACCATGCTGGCGAAATTGCGGGCATGAGAAGGTTGTACGAGAGCATTGGTGGCCTTAGTCAATCTACCGATGGTCTCAATCTTGACTTTCCAGCCTTGGGGTCTTCTCCCAAATCACAACCTAAAAATGAATCCTTCAACGAGGTATTAATTTCCAAGTTCGTAAAGCTGCTTCAGAAGTTTGTTATTACTGCAGAGAAAGGAGAGGAAGTAGATAAATCATCTTTTCGTGAAACTTGTTCTCAAGCTACTGCATTGCTTCTTTCTAATCTGGTAAATGAATCTCTTTTTTCTTGTTTAGTATGATAATATGATTTAGCTTGTGTTTTTCTGTTTTTTTGATATGATATATAATGTTTTTCAGGATTCAGAAATAAAATCAAACCCTGAGAGCTTCTCACAACTTCTACGTCTTCTTTGCTGGTGTCCAGCTTATATATCCACATCTGATGCTGTGGAGACCGGCGTGTATATCTGGGCATGGTTGGTTTCTGCTGCTCCTCAGTTGGGATCTCTTGTCCTTGCTGAACTAGTAGATGCATGGTTGTGGACAATAGACACAAAGCGGGGCCTTTTTGCATCTGATGTAAGATGCTCCGGACCATCTGCAAAGTTGAGGCCTCATCTTGCTCCTGGAGAGCCTGAGCTGCATCCCGATAAGGATCCTGTTGAACAAATAATGGCTCATAGGCTATGGATTGGATTTTTAATAGATAGATTTGAAGTAAGCATCACATATATAGCCTTTAACACCATAATCAATGTCTTATGCATTGAGTTTTTACTCTATTTCAAATGTTAATTAATGTTGCTCCCTTAAATCTTACTATTGCTTGTGCTTGAAGTTGAAATTGGAAAATGTTGCTGTCTATAGCAGGAGCAGCGATCTTGCTCACTATTCCTTCGTAACCGCAAAGTAGTATATGTTCATCCATTTGATTCTGTAAGCGCTTCATTTCAGGTCGTTCGGCACGATAGTGTTGAACAGCTTTTGCTCCTTGGTCGAATGTTACAAGGAACGACAAAACTCCCTTGGAATTTTACACGACACCCAGCTGCTACAGGAACTTTCTTCACCCTTATGCTTTTTGGCCTGAAATTTTGTTCATGTCAAACACAGGGTAACCTTCAGAACTTCAGATTAGGGCTTCAGTTGCTAGAAGATAGAATATACAGGTATGGCCCATTTACGAAGAAATCAGTTAGTTTCTTTTCATCTTTAGTATCCTCATTTTTAAGGGAATCCGTAGAGAATTCGAATATATAATGGGTTGTTCATACTGTGCATGTTCAGAAACCTGAACATCAAGCTGATATGAGCTTGCTATGCATGGTTACTGAATTAGGTATATGCAGCAGAAAAAAAAAGCATAATGTCTGCAAGCTATTTCCAGCTAACGAATAAAGTTTTTATATGAGGTTCACCAATGTGTATCTTATGTATTGAGTTTTAATTAATGCATGAACCCAAATCACAAGAATTTTCTAATATTGCTATTACCATTGCAGTTTTGAAGATGAAAGCAAAATAAGCATATAGTGCAGGTTTCTGGACATGCACTATATGGAGGGGCTGTCCGTATAGTGCATTTTCAGAAACCTGCACATTAAGCTGACTTGAGATTGCTATGTGTGGTACCTGAATTTGGTATATTTGCAGCAGAAAATAGCATAATGTCTGAAAGTTCTTTCTGCTAATTAATTAAATTGTTATTTGAGATTCATCAATGTGTATCCTATGTATGAATCCTTATTTTATGCAGGAACAGTAATCACAAGAATAGACTTTACAAATTCTAATGCTATGATTATTACTGTCTCGAAGACGAATACAAAATAAGCATATTGATTTACAGAACCATTCCTGTTCTACTGCATTTGTCACTGATCATCTCTGATATCAGAGAATCTTGTCATGATTCAGCACTCAGTGATCTTGTGTATCCTTTTTTTTAGTTTGCTTGTTTGAAGATTTGGTGTTCTAAGTTGTTCTTTTATAAATTTGTTACTTATATTCTAGTAGTTAACATTTATTTATGTCTGAGTAATCTCGTATGCATTCTATTGGCTAAAACAGGTCATCCTTGGGTTGGTTTGCTCATGAACCGGAGTGGTTTGACCTAAATAACAATAATTTTGCTCAAAGTGAAGCTCAGTCGGTTTCATTATTTGTCCAACACCTTTTAAATGAGCGGGTAGAAACAGCTAACATTGATCAGAAAGCAGGAGGGGCCGAAAATGGTGGCTCTCTACCAGATATGGTAGGATTTTAATGCAGGAGATGCTGCAGTTACAGCTCTTAAATTATTGTTAGTTTATTATTTCGAAATTTTATTTTGTATGTCGATAAAGCTAGAAAAAATCTATGTTATGCAGAAGGATCAATATCATCCAGTCTGGGGTCAGATGGAGAATTATGCTGTTGGGCGCGATAAGCGGAGGCAGTTACTGCTGATGCTGTGCCAGCATGAGGCAGACAGACTTGAGGTTTGGGCTCAACCAGTTGGATCAAAGTAATCATCATTGACTTTTATTTATTATCTGACAACTTGTTTTGTTGTATGAGTGCAAGAAAAATGAAAAAAGAAATGAGGCTTTTCTATGATGGATTCAAATCCTATTTTCATTTTCTTGTCTAATGTCTAATACAGGGAAAATGCTACTAAGCTCAAAATTAGCTCTGATAAATGGATAGAATTTGCTCGGACTGCCTTTTCGGTTGATCCTCGAATTGCTTTATCATTGGCTGCAAGATTTCGGGCAAATGCTTCTCTCAAGAGTGAAATCACTCAACTAGTTCAAGTATGTTGATATGTTTGCTTATATAAAATGAGAACTTACTAGGCATAATTTGTTTTTGAAAATTCCATATAGTGGAAGTGAATTTTGATATAGAAAAAGAGATTATTAGTTTATGCCTTGTTTTCTGTTTTGTTGATTGTCATAAGCTGTCCAGTGGTATTTGTGCCTGTATTGTGCTGAATTCCATTTCCACATTTGTCGTAGAGGATCCTTACTTCAATTAAACTCTTTTGCATCATTGATTTTATATTTTCTTAGTTTATTACTCATATTTAGCTAAATTTGACTTTGTGCTTTTATTTTCCTTGTAGTCACATATATTGGAGATTCGCAGCATTGCTGAAGCGTTGGCTTATTTTGTCACCCCAAAAGCGGTGGATGAGAATTCAATACTCTTGCAACAATTGCCACACTGGGCAGCTTGTTCAATTACACAAGCTTTGGAATTTCTTACTCCAGCTTATAAAGGTCACCCACGAGTGATGGCTTATGTTCTCAGGGTATTGGAGACGTATCCACCTGAAAGAGTGACGTTCTTCATGCCTCAGCTAGTACAAGCACTAAGATATGATGAAGGGGTGGGTTCTTGTTTGGCATGCCAATATTATAGTTTCTTTTCTCAGTCATGCTGCCTAAAGTGGTCAATCTAATTTTAATGGCATGCTAATTAATATCATCGTTTCAACAGTCTGCTGTACTGCTGATGTTGCGACTAATTTGTTTCTTAGCTTGTGTAAATAAGTGATGTGAAAGATATTCCATGGATAAAACCATATATGCAAATAAGATTTGCTTGACTTATTACTAACCGACAAACCAATAGGGTAAATTAACTTCGCTAAATTTTTTAATCAGATTTTTTTTTTCTTCATCTGATGACGTACTTGATTTATTCTTTGCATTTTGGGTCTCCATTTTGTAGAGGTTGGTTGAGGGTTACTTGCTTAGAGCTGCACAAAGGAGTGATATGTTTGCCCACATATTGATATGGCATTTGCAGGTAAGAAATACAATTCTGTTGGGCTCTTTGGTTGTTCAAGAAATATCAATACAGCTAATGCAATGTTAATAATGTTTTGTTGTAGACATAACAACATTGTTGCTTTTGCAGGGTGAGACTTGTGTTCCTGAGTCGGAGAAAGACGCCCCATCTGCCACGGTATACTAATAGTAATTACACATGATTGATTCTATCTGCACCATAGTAAAACTGAAGTATGCATTTCATATTTTCGTATCTCTTAGTATATTGATTGTTGTGCCTGTTTGTGGACTCATGTTAATGATGTTACTTAACGAAGTAAATTTCCTGCATGTTTTCTGTAATCGTGCTTTTCATTTTGATCTTTGGAATAAGCTCTCAGTTCCGAGAAAGTTCCACTTGATGTTATGACTCGTTTATTTTTACCGGATGTAGTCACTGTAGATCAACGGTGCCTAAGCGTAATGTGTCCCCATCAACAATTTCTATATATTCATTGTATTTCTTACTGTTATTCTTATTCAGCGTCTTCATTTTACTGTTATTTGTGGCCATATTGGTTCATAATAGTTTCTCAAACTATTTTCTTTTTTTTTTTCTATTTTCTTTTTCCAGAGTAGCTCGTTTCAAGAACTATTGCCGGTTGTCAGACAACGAATTATCGATGGTTTCAGTCCTAAAGCACTTGACATTTTTCAAAGAGAATTTGATTTCTTTGACAAAGTTACATCCATATCTGGTGTTCTGTTTCCACTTCCGAAGGAGGAAAGACGAGCTGGGATTAGAAGGTAGATATATGGAGTTTAATGTGGGATTGTGGTCCATGCAGTTATACAAATTTACAGTGCAAGTGCTATTTCTCCGTTTAAATTTTGAATACGAGATACTCTATCTTTATGTCGAAACAGGGAGTTGGAGAAAATTGAAATGGATGGAGATGACCTATATCTACCTACTGCTCCTACAAAACTTGTCAGGGGTATTCAAGTTGATAGTGGAATTCCTCTACAATCGGCAGCAAAAGTTCCTATAATGATCACATTCAATGTAGTGGATCGGTATAGGGATCCTAAAGATATAAAGCCCCAGGCTTGTATATTCAAGGTATCTTATCGTTGATTGATGATTATGTAACATGAGATGATTAGCTGACTGGAGAGAAACCTCCAGTTAAATCCACATTAATGCCAATGGATTTGGGCTTGGAAACCTTGACCAAGTCCAAGTGTGAGCAATACTAGTGAAATTCAAGTGTGAGTTGGACTAGGCATAGGTTGCTGGGTAGATAAAATGGGATTATTCTGCATAGCTCACGTACCTTTAGATTTATATGCTTGGTTGAGAGGACCTCATGGAACTTCTTACATAATGTGCCAAGAGCTTGATGGGTGGCCGTGAATTTTCTCCCCAGATTTGGAGCTAATTATGTGGGGAACTCCAATCTCCATTACATATATTTTCTCGGCACTGGTGTTACCACTTTCAGAGCTTTATTTTCTTAGTGCTAATCTCCTTCATTATGCTTTCTTTATCAGATAGCATCTATTGTCCCTCCCATTAATGTGTATATTGATATCTAGTGTGTTAGAACCATTGTATCCCATCTCATATGCCTGTCCATTCAATTCTCGAGAATATATCTCACTATCAAATAAACGTCGGGTAATGTTCAAATGGATGGGCACTGATTTATTATCTACTGAGCATGAATAAGCTGCAGAACCAAATTGAATTCGACTCTCTTAATCAGTTATGATGGGACAGCAAACTCCTGTTGCCTGTTTTTTATGAATTTTATGGTTTCCGGATGCATTTAGGAAAAATAACACACACTCACACACAAAACATATCATATGATTTAGGTTTGCATTAATGGAGGTGAGATGATAATTTGCTTATTTCCTCTACTTTTTTTGGGCAAAAAAAAAAGGATTTTTAATAATGTTAATGAACATCATAAACGTTGGTTTTAATAACCGGTGCAAATTTGTCGTCAAAATTTTTAATTATTGTCTCATGGAGCTAGTTTGTATATAGGTTGGAGATGACTGCAGACAAGATGTTTTAGCTCTGCAAGTTATTTCACTTTTAAAGGACATCTTTGAAGCTGTTGGGCTTAATCTCTATTTATTTCCTTATGGAGTACTGCCAACTGGTCCAGAGAGAGGCATTATTGAGGTATATTCATCTTACCTGTCAGAATGCATTATTTCTTCATCAGTCTTCATTTTGTATGATTTCAGTTAAGTCATCTATCTTTACTTTATTGTTTGTTTATTTCACAATTTTTAACGTCGACTTATGTGATGTATCTAAACTTCACCATGCGTGTTGAATTTGTATTTCTTGTAAATTCGCTGTTGTATGATTTGGGGGATTTTACCAATTGGATTGACTCCTCAAATAGCCGACTAAGTTCTTAGACTTCATCAATAACACAGAACAAGAAAACCTCGATGTTGCATAAAACCAAGCAAAATAAAGTAATACTAATCGGCTTTCAGAAATTGCTTTTATTGCTATCCATGAAGTTAGTCATATGTTGTTTGTTGCTGTTTGATTTGATGTACTAAACACACACACACATATATGTAAAGAATAAGTTATACACTTTTATGCTGGGTAGAATGCTGTATAATTCCAGTGTATTTTTTGTCCAGAATATTCCACTTGAGACTTATCTGATCAGTTCTGCTTGGCAGGTGGTGCCCAATTCACGAAGCAGGAGTCAGATGGGTGAGACGACTGATGGTGGTCTATATGAGATTTTTCAGCAGGACTTTGGGCCTGTTGGTTCTCCGAGCTTCGAAGCTGCACGTGAGAATTTCCTCATTAGCAGTGCTGGATATGCAGTTGCTAGCCTCTTGCTTCAACCAAAGGATAGACATAACGGGAATCTTTTGTTTGACAAGTAAGCATTTCTATACAAGTGTGATCATCATTAGTGTATAGGAAGATGCTGCTGAATGGTTGCTATTTACATATATGTAATAGCGGTAGCTTAGCAGGCCCGTCACTCATTTGAAGTTTGGTATCAAGATAATTTTGTTTGCTAATTTGTTGGATACTGCCAAATATATATTGTTCCATTGTTATTATGATTAAGTTTCTGCTCTTTTATTTTCTTAGCATTCTTTAAATTTATTGGCCATGGTCGATGTTTTTTTTTCTCAGCAAATAGTCGAGTCTCTTGGTGATTGTGAGTGTATCTCAGTAAAAGTCTTTATTATTATTATTTTTTTTATTATTATGTGATGCTTGATTTTAGCAGTTACTTCATATGTTGAGCATTTGATTCCTATTTTATAACATGAGCTATATACTCTTAGGTAACTACAGAAACTTGTCCAAAATCCAAATTTTAGCTTAATTACAATATCCCCAGATTATCTTTTAAAAATTAGTGTCTTAACTTTCGGATTCTATTTTCGCAAATGCAGTGTAGGCAGGCTTGTCCATATTGATTTTGGTTTCATTCTGGAAACTTCGCCTGGTAATAATATGCGCTTTGAAAGTGCCCACTTCAAACTGAGTCATGAAATGACTCAATTACTCGATCCATCTGGAGTAATGAAAAGCGACACTTGGTACCAATTCGTACGGTAAGATTCAGATTATGTTCCTCACGTAGTTATATATTAATTTTTTAAATAATTCTAAAAATTATCTTTTGTTTGTGCAGCTTGTGCGTGAAGGGTTACCTTGCTGCACGCCGTTATATGGATGGAATCATAAACACAGTCTTGATTATGATGGATAGCGGTTTGCCTTGCTTCAGTCGAGGGGACCCAATTGGTAATCTCCGTAAGAGGTTCCATCCAGAAATGAGCGATCGTGAGGCAGCTAATTTCATGATCCGAATTTGCAATGATGCCTATAATAAGTGGACCACTGCTGGTTACGATCTGATTCAGTATTTGCAGCAGGGTATCGAGAAATGAGGCAAAATGATCATTTTTTCTCTCTCTTTTTTTTTTTTCTTAAATTTTTTGGAGGGTGAGGTGTGTCAACTTGTATATCTTTGGTCTCTAGTAGTTTTCATATTATGTGTATCTTTTGTCTCTATTTGTAAAGATATGTTTTAGGCGTAGCTTGGTATTTATTATAAATGTATTTGAAGCTCATCCAAGCAATATATGCAGAAATGCTTGTGGACATGCACAAATTTTTGTTTGGATTGGTGACCGATTGTTGCTAGTGTACACTATTGCTAACCAAGTTTCTGAAATTTTCTCTGCTTGTTGCCTAAGTGGGCCCAATGTTGGTGTTGGACCATTGTTCTGGGTGTTGTGTGTTTTAGCATATGGGCTCAAAGTTGCATAACAGTACTTCAAATTTACATATATATGCGATTGAACTGAATACTAATCGCAAAAATATTACCTAGAAAAACTTATTTCCACATCAATCTACATAATATAGAATTATAGATATTTGAATATATACTGACTATCAAATACTATCCACCACACACTCCTTTTCATCTGCCTTTTCCCATCTCCTGAGTCAGAATTTTGATTGTTCACTTTNNNAATAATAGTAATAATAATAAATCTGCAAATCTCCTCTGCGACCTCCACGACACCAGCACACATTGCCTCACACCCACCTCATTGAGATCCCAAATCTCCTCAGCGACACCAGCCCTCGCAGCCTGCTGCCTACGTCGCCCTCAAGTAAGACGGCGCTGCCGCACAAGACGGCAATCGCCACCAACGTCATCCTCAATCAAGGAGCCTCTAGTCGAGCGCAAAGTAATTAGAACTGTCGTCAGGTCGCATCGAAAAAGAGGCCGAGTTTCGCCGTTCACTGTCAATCCAAGACCAAACTTCCAGTCTTCGTCGTACGCCAAGGTGGAGACTCAAACCGCGATCGTACAGACAACGATCCTATGGCCTGTTCTGTTGTCTCTGCTTGTCGACTACACACAGACGCCGTCGATGTCCCGATCTGCCGCTGCTGCCATCACTTAAACTCGAGATGACAAAGATTCTGAGTGTATATTTCTAAGGTTTTGGACATGCATTTGGGGGTTTATGATCTGAAGTTGAGGGTGTATTAGTTGAATTTTGAATTTCAATGTTTGTTTGATAGTTATTAATAATTTAAGTTTGATTTATGAACACAATTTTATAGTCATGGAACGAGATTTGATAAAATAAATATGTTATAAATTACAAATAAACTAAATATAAACTTAATAGAGACAATAGTAAGTAATTTTACAATACAAGTATATCTCTGAATGAAGGTTTATAATAATGGCATGAAAGAGGAGATTAGCGATTTAGGTCGGCTGATTTTTCGCCGTTCTTGAAGCCGACGAGATGGGCAGAGGCGGGAGGAGGGGGGAAGGGATGGCACTAATATTTGAGTAGAAATTGGCAGCGGGGAATGGATGTCGCTTGAGAAGATGGCTGCGATGAGGAGAGAAGAGAGATGACCGATAAATTTCACTATCCAAAGAATGTTTTTTTGTAGATGTTGCGTTTATACTCAGTATATATATCCACAAAAGGTACTTAACGACTAAAACATAAGATATAAACACACGACAGAACTACAAATAAAAACGAAATAAAAAATATTAATATGAATATCCAAAAACAACATAAACAATAATCAATAAAAAAGCATTGCTCATTTGCCGTTTCATATCAATTTCCTCATCAACTAAAAAATATGCTAATATATCAAATATAAACTGTAAATAAACATCAAATAAATATAAAAAATAGATCTGATCAATATTATCTGCATGTCATCGACTCGAAAACTCCACCACCAACGGCAGCCAATTGGGATTCTTCAACTTCATCACTCTCCGGCCAGGAAACTTTTGCAGAGAGGAGATCCTTGCGTGGGCCCTCCTCTAGAGGTCGGTAGCCATTAGCATCTTGTCATCCACCCGAACCGTGCGGACCCTTGTCTAGGTCAAGGCCTTTACCCTACGAGCTGACGACCTAAAGTTCGTGGGGCAATTAAATTAAGGCAATTAGCAATTGCATGCAACTACCTTCATAATTATCTAAAAAATAAGGTAAATTTTGAAAAAAAAAATATGTTAAATGTTGTATGTTTGCAAATAAAAATTATGTTGTATATATGCAATATATTATGTTTTGATTACTACATGGGGGTAATTTTCTCTTTCTAAAATTACTATATTGAGTCCAAAAACTAAAGCGGAGCCCTATTTTCCAATACTTTGACTTCAAAAGAGCATATGGGCCAAGAGCTGTTGCATGCTTATATACGCGTGATGAGGAGCCCATACCAGTGGTACCATCCCGATACGTTTTTTTATTTATTTTTTTTTATTTTCGATTTAATAGTAATATTTGCTGTAATATTTTTTCATAAAATATATCATTCTCAATTATAAACTACATATAAACGAACCATAAATGATCAAAAAATGCAATTTACAAATTAATAACAAAAATAAACCATAAATCAACCATTTGTATACCGTGGAAGTTACTATAACTATAATTAAAAACTAAACTTCGTACATATGTAAATAAATAGGGATTTGCAGGTGAATGTTCTAATTTTCTCATTTGATTTTGAAAGAATTGCTAGTAAACATTTTAAAACATCACAATTATTCCAGTTTCTGATTAGTTATATGATAATCAAATGACCTGAAATAAACAACAAATAATAAAATAACATTGGTATGATTAAGAGATTGTAAACGAAACGAGTCGCTTGGGAACTCGACTCATTAAAGCTCAAGCTCGACTCAACTCGTTATTTAAAGCTCATTTAGTTTAGGTTGAGAATAAATTTTTTATGTAATTTTCTATAGCCCCTAAAACTCGATTTTAACTCGTTAATATTGATAAACGAGCTGAGTTCGAGCTCATTTCGTTAATGAGTCAATCTCAACTCAAGCTATAGTATTAGGAACTCGAGCTCGATCTCCTCGTTAAAACAAGTAAGTATCATTTTCATGTAAATCTCTCTAGTTGGTTAAATGTATTATTATTTCCCCTCACCTAATATCCCAACTAAGGAAGAAAAATAATGATTAACTAATGCCAAAGTTGAAACATGCGACCATTTACATAAGATGCAATGGATCTACGTACATTTAAAGACACTATTATAATGTTATAAAAGTAATTTTTTACATGTTTCAAAGTGTGTGTCAGTGTGTGGGGTTTTAAAAATAATTAGCAAGTGCTCTCTTATGTAATCTTAGCGGATCTTGAGATCATCCAATTTTCCACTTGTGTGACTGACATTTCAACAAAGAATGAGTGGTGGGTGCCAAAAAGTGGAAATCATTATTAGGAAAGAAAAAGTTGGGTTGAATCTATATCTATATATATATAAAGAGGTTGTTGGAAAAATACATTAATAGAAAGTTTGACCAAATAAAAATAATATTTGACTTACTATTAATGAAAAGTTCAAAAAAATACATGTGAATCTTAAGTAACAAAATCTAAATCCTATTTTTTTGGTAACAAATTTGGAGATTCTTATGGCAAAATTTGAATCCCATTTTTTTCGTATCATATTTTATTGTTTGAACCAAAATTTAAATCATCTTTTTTGGTAACAAATTTAGAGATTCTTATGCAAAAAATATGTCAAGTATTTATGAAAACAATTCTAAATACAAATTAATTTAAAAACCGTGCAAATTGGATACAAATTTAGGAAGCAAATAGTTGTATAATTCTTAATCAATTCTTCCAATCTTATTGAATACTTTTTTTTTTTCAACAAAATTGTGTAAATTGGATAAAGCCACGTGCAATTTTTATTTTAAAATAAAATTGATATTTGGACGGGATTTACATTCAAAATTGTGTCCACAATTGTTGGAAACAAAAGCGGGATATTTAACGTCACCTTATCCAATTATTTAGGAAAAATTGTGTGCAACTTTTCAAAATTTAAATGCATCGATTTTTTTGGATTCTTATGTTTTTTCTTAACCATGTTTTACAGAGATTTTGATAAGTTCATATTATTTTCTTTAGAAAAAAGACAATCGCATAAACATTAACAATTTATTTTAATTTTTTATTAAAATTATTTTCAATTCAATTTGTTTGGTACAAAAATTGGTGCAATGTTAGCAAAATTCGGTTGCATTTTTAGGAAAAATTGAAGATTTTTTTATTTGATTTAAAAAAATATTCGGATAAATTTGTTTGATAAAAAAATCAGTTTCATTTCCAAGAGTAACTAATGATTCTTTTCAATTTTTCTTAATTGAAATTTAGAATTAGATTTAAATAAATAATGAGTGAAAATTCCTAAAAAATTCTACTTTTGTTTCTACTTTAATTTTGTTTAATAAATAAGATCCTTTAATTTTTTGTAAAAATTTATTAACTAATAACTAATAATATGCAACTTTGGACAAATTCGAACACCTATGTAGTAGTTTACGTGACAAAGAATCAAATCAATAATGTTGTACATAAGGAAGTGTTTAATAACATATAAATTTTATTTTCATGAAATTTTTAATGGCATGAGACAATTTAAATACAAAAATACCTTTTAAAAAATAAATAGGTAATAAATGTTCCCGTGCATCGCACGGGTACCGTAGTAGTAGTAAAGAAAACAATAGACAAAAAACCAATAACATTATAAGTTATAACCCAATGACAAAGCCTCAGTTTTTACGCTTGATGATAATGTATAGCTAATGTATAGATTTTCAAACTTAATGATGATGCTAAAACTAAGATAAATTAGTTAGTCTATGGCTAAGTAGGTGTAATAGTTAGTCATACATAATCTTTTAAGATATACTACCTCCTTTTTTTTATAAATGTCATTTTGGCTTTATCAACCATTGTCTAAATAAATGACGTTTTGGATCTTTTGTACATATTTTTCCATTATTACCCTTATCTAGCTAATAAATACACTACGTCTTTTCATATTCATTCTTTATCTTTTCTCAAAACATCTATCTCTATCCTCATTAATGAGGGTTATTATTAGCGAAAAAAATATTCTTAATTAGTGTGAAACTTCCCAAAACGACATCTATTAAAAAAAGGAGGGAGTACATATTTTTAAAT